ATTAACCACGCTTTTTCATTGGCCCTTCAATTTCTGCTCTTTTTTTGCTGACCACAAAACATCAGAGGGAGTACACTAGTCTCCAGTGGAAGGTCTCAGTGTGTTTTGTCTTCTGCTTGTACAAATATATACTCACTTAAGCAGCGCTGAACATGTATACACACCAAAGCAATCTTTTTATAGGACTCTCTTCCAGAGACACGGCTGCTGCCTGAGTCTGTGCTAAAGGAGAAAATCCTGTGCTGCTACACCACTACCCCTTCCATCCCAAAAGCAATGCTTCCTCCAGAGATACAGCCAGGGCAAGCTGTCATTCTTTCATCTCTGTTCAGGTATTACCTGACACGAGCAGTAGCAATTAGCACGGACACCTGATCAGCTATGGAGAACTGCAGAAAGGGCAGAGTACAGGAAAGAACTCTCAGTTCCCCCCCTGTCCAGGGTCAGCTTATCGTGGAAACGTGTATGGAAGCTGTCCTGCAATGGCAGATTGCATTCAGACCACAAGGAAAACTCCTTCAGGGCTGTCTCCTGAGTAATGTTACTCAGACTTGCCAGTTACTGCGCTCAGATCAATCTGAACAAACTGTTGGTTTGTCTGAAGTGACTATTTTTGGCAGTGGTTTTGTGTAAGCATTTCAAAGCTGGATTCCCAGGGCTTCCCAGGCATCTGTCTGCAGGGCTTTTACACAGAGCTCCTTAGGCATACAGTGCTCACTCCCTTCTTCCAGCTTCTCTTCTGAACTCCCAGCAATTCACATATTGGGAATTACCAGTATTATTGAGCACGTGACACTCACAGGAATCAAATAAAACCATATGTGCTTTTAGGTTCTGTTTTATGACACGTAACAGACTCTACATGATATTTTCAAAACTGCAGTATATTTTCCTCGGGGGGTTTTCACTACAAAACTATTCATGAGACTAAGTTTAACCACAGAGCTGCTTGAACACAAAACTTAATGACACTAAGTTTAACCACAGAGCTGCTTGAACACCCCTCAGTTTTCTTAGAATCAGACATTTTGAATCTATTAAACCATCACTGTTGACCTAGTCTGGCTCTGCCAAGCTAACTACAATGCTGGCAGCAGCATCAAATGCTGCTCCACACTGGAGCTGTGAATCGAACAGCACAGGAACAGCACTGCACTGATGCCCAGAAACTGTTTCAAAGTCCTATTCAGCACCTCTAGGTGGACAGAGCAATTTTTGAGGCTAGCTTGAGTACCTTTACTACAGTCCTGGATTCAACAACACATACCAGCCTTTTCTTTAATCCTCAGGAGAGACTGGTGCTTTCAATGCTGCAAATGTTTTTGTTTGCATTACTCTGCAAAAATGCAATTGAATCAAGATTAGAAATACTATACGTGCTTATAAAGGCGAAGGCTAACTTACCTCAAGAACACATGACAACCAATCCTTTTACAGACAATTCTCAGAATACACACACTTTGGTAAAAGTATGAAATCTAATTAAAAGTTTTCCTGGAGAGTTTTTAGATTTATGTCATTGCTGTTTCTTTCATCAGCAAAATACTCAAAGGCACTCAGAATTGGAATAGTATAAAAACTATCTGCTTTATATTTCAGTCAAAAAATCCTGAAACCTTCCAATGATCCTTCTACAATTCCTGCTTTTCCATCTAGAAATCAGTCTTTTTGGAGTGGATGTGGGTGTGTGTGTGTGTGCTGACAGAGGCAATATTCTGCTCCCTGTCATAACTGATAGAGGCAATATTCTGCTCCCTGTCATAATCAAGATAAAAGCATTACTACCATGATTTTCAAGGTGTTTTTTATTTTGTAAGGTGAGTTTACTGAGTAGTGCAAGCTTATCTCAGGGTCAAGTTCTACACTGCAAGTCCCACAAAGGCACAGATGGACTACAATTAATCTGTGCAAGCAATTCCTGAGGCAAAACACAGTAGTCCGAAGACACTTTAAAAAAAATTTTAAAAAAACTTAAAAATCACACTTGCAAATTTATTTCTCCAGTTCTTGGTGAAAAATAGGGGGTTTTTGTATTTTTCCTGAAGATTGACTTCCAACAAGTTATTTATCTTCCACCTTGTATCTCATGTTGTACCTGCCAACATGTACTTAGAGAGCAATTTCTGAGGCAAAACACAGTAGTCCCAAGACACTTAAAAAAAAAAATTTAAAAAAACCCTTCAAAATCACACTTGCAAATTTACTTCTCCAGTTCTTGTTGAAAACTAGGGGTTTTTTGTATTTTTCCTGGAGACTTACTTCCAACAAGTTATTTCTCTTCCACCTTGTATCTTATGTTGTACCTGCCAACATGTACTTAGATGGATTTCCATGACTCAGATCTCTTCATGGAAGCCAATTTCTGGTCCCAGACAGACAGAATGCAACAGCTTCTTTTAAAGCAAATAACAGCTACATTTAACACTTTGGGTACAATCGCTTGCCTTGAAACCAAAATAACCCAGTTTAGGGTAAAGAGCCTTACAAAGATTGTTTTGAAGTACCATGTCACTCCACCATTTCAGTTAAACAGGGATTAATACAGGCATATAAGTGCACAAGATGTTCAAAAAGGTCCCTGAGCCATTATGGTGCCTTACATATGAGAAAGAAAGTTATCTTTGGGGAGTTCTAGCAAATAAAAAAGGAAGCACGAAGGAACCTGGACTGTAAATTTTTCACATATACTTTCTAGCTTTTACCACATACCTGGTAAATGCAAATGACAGGAATGGGGTGGGTTGTGACTGGTGGTCCCATAATCACTCTTGAGACATATTCAGGTTAAGAGACACATACTGTGTATATACTTTAAAAGCAGTAAGATGGCCTGCCTTACACTTAGCTCATCAGCTGGGAAAAGAATGGTAATGACCACATTCAGCAACTTCTGGAGATTATTTTAATATCAAATGCATTGGCATTCTCATAGCACATATGTAACAAATCTAAAAAGGCAATCCTTTAATGTTATAAAATCAATTTAAAAAATTTCATACATTGCTTTTGCTTTTAAATATCTATAAACCAGTCAATCTAAAAAAGAACAAATTACTTTATGATGAAAACTAACTTTACAATGAGAAGAAGCCCAAACTATTTTTTCATAAGGGAACACTGAAAATATTCATTAGTTAAAAAAAGGTATAGAGAAAGGTCACATATTCCTGCATTTTACCTTTCACCTGTTTTACAATAAATACACAGAATAATATTGTAAGTAATGCTGATGTTGTAATTTAGGTGATGAAAGACACAAACTCTGGGATGAGAGGGACAGATGCTGCAGTGCAGGGGGGTAGTAACAAACTACAGAATTAAAGTAGAAACAAAGACAAAAAATACACAGTAATTGCACTATGCTGCTCACAGCTATACAGAAGGTAACTGTGCTCAGCAAATTGTTTTGCTTTAAAATTGCCTCTCTTCTCCAGAATGAATGCTTCCTGGTTTGAGAAACAATAAGGGAGGTGTGGAGGGGTGTGGGTGTTGGATGACTGTACAGAACCTGAAGTTATCACTGGATTTTCCAAATGCTAGGTTTCAGAGTTGTCTTGAGGGATGGGGACCCTGAGAATTCTGTAATGACGTAAATGCACATCTTTGGGCTGCCCTCAATTTTTATCTTAACTCTTTATCCTACTTCCAGCTTTATGAGTGCTTATTTTGTAGATCATTGTATGACACAGGTGGGTTTGGTGGTTATCAGGCACACAATTCTTCTGAAGGGTGAGATGACACTTAAGTTTACTTACAATGGGGAATGGGAGAAAGTATCCTCTTAATCTTCTATCGTGCAGTAAGTACAGAAAAATAGTGTGCACATCAAAATGTTATTAGTTTTGTGTGATCACTGTCCGAGGAAAAACTACATAAATACGTATTAAGACAATGATAAAACTTGTGCTACATTATCAAATCAAGTCTGAGTTCAAATACTCAAATATTCAAGCATCTTTACTCAATTCTCCTAAGCAAAGTATAAATCCTATTTGTCTTATATGCAAATTACATATCTTAAAGACATATCATATAAACATAATGACCTTATTTTTCAGTAAAAAACCTCAAACTTTTAAGGTTGTTAAGCCACACTCTGATTGCCTTGGTAAAACAGGTGGTGTCATAAGACTGATAGGAATAAGTCCTCAAAATCAGGTAAACAGCATGAAAAATCTACTGCCTACATGTATTATATTGGTATGTACTTTGAGAGTAAATTTTCTTCTAAAGCCCAATAGGGAAAAAAACCCCACCCTTCAAAAAACCCCACTCTCAACTTTAAAATAATTCAACAGCCACTCTCAAGCAAATGTCTTCCTCTCACAGAAATATATTTTTATGATGAAAATGCTAGGGAGAGGGGAAAAAAATAAAAGTCAAAACTTATGAGCCTCAAATCTTGGCAGAATTTTCTGACACATGCAGATTACTTCTGTATCTAATCAGAAACAAAACAAAAAATACATCTCTAAAGAGAGTCAATATTATATCCTTAAATTAAACCAATACATAGTATTCATTCCATCTGCATGAGCTGCAAAAACAAAAGAGACATAGTACAGTAAAAAAATCCTGTCTTCAGGCCTGACTCCTATAAGATCATCCATGTTTATAGAGAATTATGAAGAACAGTCTCCAAAAGATGAAAATATTTTTACATCCTTGTGGCACATGCCTGTAAGTAGCTTTCACATTCCCAGTAAAAATCAGTAATCAATCCATATGCATTAGCTTTAACTTACATATTTACACTTTTATCTACAACTTTCTCCTCCCCTCCCCACCCCCCTCCCCCCACCCACTGGCATTCTAAGACCACACAACACCATGGGAAGAAAACAAAATCTTTCAATAAATACACGCTGAACAAAAAATACTTCTTGTGATGTCTTTTTTTTATCTTCCTTGCAAGGCAGGGAGAGACCAAATGCTGCTAAGCAGAGTTCCAGTTACTTCCTACAGCAATGTCCTTTGGCCAATCTGCCTTATTAGATTTATTAGCTGCTGCTGCCACTGTGCTGTTGGAAGTGCAGTTGCAAGATCAGGTCTCGAATTTCTTCTCTTTTGCTTCTGATCACCTGACGAGAGAACCAATTCTCCAGATGCAGCGGCTGCTCAAAGTTAACTATGGGATTCTGGTAACAGAAAAAGGAATATTTATGGCATGAATTTCCTAAAGCAGCTTTCAAAGATAATTTCAAACCCTTCCACTGCTGCAGAGACCAAGGAGGCACAAAGAAGTTTCCATACAAGAGCGACAGGCTTCAAAGTCAAATTCCAGTTCCTCTATCATAACAACATACACATACTCTTACCAAAAGGTACTCATGGTAAACACCAAACAGGTTATCACCACTTCTCGTAAAGATACATCCGTATTAACACATCTTGAAGGCAGATTTCATGAATTTTGATACAAGTAGACAAACTTTTGATAACTAACAAGGGATAGATGCATTTTGGTCACAAAACACACAATTGCAATCACACTATAGCGAAGGATCATGCATGCAGCAGTTAAGCACGCTGAGATTTTGCTGCCTCAGGCATGTGTTTATTCTGTCATGAGCTGATCTCTCTGACAGAAGACATCAAAAAGTAAGAATACTGGTAACAGTTTTAGTGGGACATGAGAACAGGAGAAATTGGAACAAAATAGGATAGCAAACTGAAGTGGCTGAGAGATCTTGGCAGCTTTGGCAGTAAGCACAACATCACATCTGATTTGAAAGTCAATTTTTTTCTTCTCTCCTGCTTCATTCTTTTGCCCTGCTTATATTTCTCCTTCTCCTTCCTTTGAATAAAGTTGTATATTATAATTTGAAACAGCAGAGCAAAGAGCACATCATGATTTGTGGTCTACGAGTCCCAGTATGTTTAGGACCAATTACAACCACTCTGTCCTGGCCTTGCTTCTGCAAGTAGAACACGACCCCACTGTTAGAGAATGGGCAGTTCAAAGGCATTGGTAAATAACTTCCACCTACATAAGAGTTCAAACCTTCTACTACAGAATCATAAAATGGTTGAGGAATGAAGGTCACTCGGGTCAGGAACCTGTCAGGGTAGTTAGAATCACCCATAGGGTCCAGGGTCTGTGAATGGTAGGCTGCTTCCTGCTATCCGAAGAGGGCCTCATCCACTTCTTGATCTTGATCAGGTGGCCTACAGCAGATGCCCACTGTTCTGTCACCCATATTAGTCTGTTCTTTAGTCATTACCCGTAAGTAGGGCTCCTCATCCAACCCAAGGCAGAGATCCATGCTCTGTCACATCAAGGGCAACTCTATCTTGTCTTCCCTGCCTGTCCTTTCTGAAGAGCCTGTATCCATCCATCACAGCACTCCTGCCACATGAGGTATCCCACAACATCCCCATGATCACAGCAAGATCACAGCCCTGCAACTGCACATAGATCTCCCATTCCTCACATTTATTCCCCACACTGTACAGGTGCTTTGGAACAGTAATCCATTCTCCTGAAGAAGAAAAACCTGTCCACTGCCCAAGGCCCCACACAAGGCTTTGCATGCACAGGAATTTCAGAGAATGTGGACCACACATATAAGCATCAAAGAAGAGCCACTCAAAGGACAGAGTGAGAGGACAGTGCACTGATCAGGGGGGAGGAAGAGTTGGGGATACCCTAGAAGGTAGTGCCTGCAGCCCAGGACCTGTAGATGTTTAAAGGCATGTGCTGAACAACAGAGAGGCTCCCTTAGCTCTGTGCATTCCCTTTAAGAAATTCCCCCTCCCTATCCTTGCAGAAGATGCTGCCTGTAGAGCCAATGCACAAGCTGACCAAATTTTAGATGCTACAAGAGGAGGTACACAGAAAGATACAACTTTGTAACATCTGCACTATACTCATTGGAATCCAAATACACCCAAATAGTCAGGGATACTGAATGTGTCAACGTAAAAGCAACATTAAACCACAAAGTCAGAAATGTCTGAAGACAGACACACATGAGAAACCAGATACAAAGACACCTGCCACTACTTGAAAAATGGGTTTCATCTCTTCTTCCTCAAATGGCTTTGACACTTTTGACACTGAGCATCACAGGCTTTTGTATCTGGCCATTTCCTTCAGAAACAGGTTTCTGGGGTTTAAGGTAATTTGAGGGAAAGGGGAAGGTAGTTTCCATTTGTACCTGGAAGAAGCTTTCCACATATTGCAGCAAGTAGACCCCACAGTCACTGCTGTTATCTTGTTTAGGCACTCTGGGACAGAGGTCAATCATTGTTGATTTACTGAATTCCCGATGTGTTTTTCGTTTAGCTTGCCATTCCACTTCAAGGTACCTAATAAAAGAAAGCAAACAGTTGAAACACTTCAGAAATAACTCCCAATCTCAATGCATTTTGGCATACTACTCAATATTGTTCTGGAGCTGTCCAAAAAGCTAAAATAGCCTTAATCAATTTCTTTCACAGAAATTGGCAAAAAAATTCATACACCATTTCCACTATCCAATATTCTGTGGCACTCAGAGGCATCTCTACCATATAATATGCTGCATACAAAACAGAAATATGCATGATGTTATTTAAAAATAGTTATTTGTGCTGACTCTCTTCAAGCTATTAGGATAACAGGACATTTTTAAACCTTAACTAGAAGAGTAACTCAAGCAATCTTTCCTGGCTATCACACAGATTTTTCCTGGGTGCATCCTAAGAGGCCAGCAGTGGTTTTTTTAACCTTAGAAAAGCATTAAAAAACCCCTTACAGGTGACCTTACAAACAACTTCAGCTACAATTGCCCCAGTGCAACCCTTGCAACCTACTAGCATAGAAGGTATATAAAGAGATGTTAAAAACCTTAAGAGATCTATTCTTTAAGGGTGAGGACTTCTTTGCTATCAGGCTTTTCTAGTGTTCTAGTGCTTCAGTAGCAACACATTGATAGATGTTAAAGTCATTAGGAGTGTGTAAAAGTACTGAAAGCTTTAGGACATTCTTTCAATACTTATATACTTATCACACAGAAGACTGAATATATTTTCACTCTCATTTTTCAAAACTAATAATACCATTTCAGTATAACTATACTGACACATCAAGCTTTTAGACAGCTTCAGCCTAATTTCTACGTTTTTGCACATAGATAGAATTTAACACTAATTCTGTAAGCACCATCAAAAAAATGAACATCAGCCCTTTGGAAAAGGAATCATTTAAATTTAAAAGTATTAATTTTAAAACTGTTTTTCTACCCTTAAAAACACCCTAAATTATTGAACTGAATGGGATAAACCCTCCCCATAGCAACAACAGCTCCTCTACTTTCCATAAACTTATTTTATTATTTTAAAAAGACTGTCTATTTTGCAGTTTTTGCATTATATCTGGGCTGCAGAACAAAACTGGAAGCCTCTGTATTTACACTGCAGTTTTCTTTGCCATGACTCTTCATGGATTTTCCTTTAGCATTAGAAATATACACCTTTATAGCAAAAAGTATTTTGAGTATAGAAATATGACCAGCATCATCTCTTGCTAAAAACCAGAAACTGTACTTACTCTCTCAAAACCTGAACTGTTTTCTGCACAGAACCAGCTTTCAGAGAATCTAAGATGAGTATACAGGGCCTGTATACAACAAAAAAAACAAACAAAAAACAAATCATTGCAGTCTTTCATTACCACACTATTGAAGCAAATATTTTGTTTGCATACAGCTTACCAAGAGCATCAACATCTGAATCAATGTGGTAAAAATGGACAAGTACCTACAGTTGTGGCTTTGTGACAAGTAACTGAATTACTGAAGAATTTCTCAATATAATTTAATGTTACAGTATTAGAAAGAAAACAGAAACATACCTTTTACAAATCTGCCTGCTGGAATTACTTAGGGAGATCTGAAAGAAAATTAAAATAGTCTTTAAAAATGACAGCAATTAGAAACTCTAACATCTTCGCAGACTTAAAGCTGGTTAGAGAAGTTCTCATTTCAGAAGAAGGCAGAAACTGATATATTGTTTTTAAAAGCACATGAAGGCACAGCAGAGCAACACAGATCAGCAAAAGAAGACTTAAGGCTAATTCAAAATACTGCAGGCCATGCAAACACTGATAGCTACTGCAAAAAAAAAGTAAAAAAAGGCACTTACTTTAGACAGAGCTGAATCTATAACTGAAGCACAAGCAGAAATTTCATTGCCACCTAGTACAGAAGAAAAAAAAATTAAAGTATTAAGAAAATATTTCCTAACTGAAATATTTTTTTCATTTTCATGACTATTAGTATCCAAAGTAAGATAGCGAAGAACTAGTTTATATACTAATTTTGAACACTCCCTTCTGAATGTTCAAACAGCATAGTTACTGAGGGCCTTCCTTCCTGATAAAACTCTTACTGAAATCAAACAACTTTCCAATCAGCACCAATTCTACATATCCCTTCCAGTATTTTCCAGAGTTGCAGACAACTTGCAGTCCTTGCTATGCATGGTAATATAAAAACATACTACATCAGTCTTCATGTCTTATCTTCCACATAATTTCCTTACCTCAGGGATTAAGACACAGCTAGAACTGCGTATGGCTTGATACAATTTTCTTCTAGATTACCTACCTTTTGAGAATAAACTTCTCTTAGCATCTGTTTTTCCTTCATCCCTGAAGAACACCGAACCAGTTCTAGTGTTCTCACTCTCTGAACGAAGAGGAGACTGTAATGTATTCTGAGGGGGACACTCCTCATACACAGCTTCTTCTAACCATGGAAAACAGATAACGGCAATGTACCAATGAGACCTGCCCAGCAGAGGAGAGAGGGGAAAAAAGATGTCAAAACTACATAACATTTGGTTCTGAAAAGGCAATGAAAAGTTTTTATAACACCGAGAGCTCATGGACAACTGCTCTGTGACAAATACCCATCATTGCCATGTTCCTTCATGGCATCTTTTTTACTTTGCATTGTGGCATGACAACAAAAGTACATATCAACTGCTTTTAAAAAACTCAACAAACCCAAGGCAGCAACTTTTCAGTGTTTGAGCACCCATCCTACCCAGTAATGAAAAAAAAGTAATAATCTGTGATGGTGATCCCAGTTTTGAACACAGCCTGATCTCTTTCTGCAACTGTTTTGCATACATAACTCTCAATGACTATTCAGTTTCCCTGAAGTTTCCATACACAGGTGAGTTATTCAATCAGGCCAAGGCAGAGACTACAGAAATACTAATTCTATCTATTGACACTGAGTTACTGTGATTTCTTTATAGAAATATTACTTAAGTGCAGAGGAATCATCATAATGGCACTTAAATTATTCTGAAAAACACCTAATGGCAATTTTCAGTAAACCAAAAACCAAAGGTGCAAAGTTTACTGAAGACAACTGATTAAACATTCAAACTTTTGAAGAGTCTGCAAAATTACTCATTCCAAACCTGTTACTTCTTCAAAATCTAATGTGTCATGTCCAATGATTCAACCTTACAGCCATAAATTTTTACCACCACAAGATTCAAATATTTAAACCCTTAAATATAAAAAAAGATGTTGAAAACACATAAACTTACTCCTCATTCACAGGCACAAAGATATAATCTTTACTGAAGATATTTATGCGACGAGTCCATGTTCTTACTCTTCTGTGTCGTCTCTGTGCTGCCCTGAAGAAATCAAATTACAATTTTTGTTTGAATATTTTCTTTTTAGTTATATTAAGGCATAGACATTAGTACTCCTACATCTCCCCAATCCCTCAATGTGTTTTGGATTTACTCTTGAAATTTCCCTGACAGATTAAAAATTAAACAGCACACCATTGAGCCTAGATGACTAACAAGCCACTTCTGAACCATCTTAAATTCTTCTGGAGAAAAAAATCATGCGTAGATTTGAAAGGACTTCTTGAAGTTATTTATGGAGTTATTTTTTATTAGATTAAATGTAAAAGTCTCATAGAAACATCAGTCAGTCTAAAACCAGATCTATAGTAACATCCATGAATCAAACTTCATGATACCAGTTTTGAAGGCCTCTCTAAGCAACTTTATATTTTGAAGGAGAAAGCTAAATGCCTTGCACAAGGTCATGCATCACACCTGTAGCAGACAGAAGTGAAAGCAATTCCATCCAGTCCTGAGACTTAAATGCTGGAGCACATTTAATTTCCAGTTCTACAGACATAAAGCATGAGGACAGGATACTAGGAGAATAAGAAAAATCTGAGAAGAAACCTCAGTTTAGATTTTCAGCTTACTTAGTTTACACAGGTTGAAATAGAAGCTTCAATAAGAGCTGAAGTCAAAATTCTACTCAGGAGATACCCCTGTTATTATTCTGATTTCATCTTCATCTTTGCCCTTATTATTATTCTGATTTCATCTTCATCTTTGATTAAGAAACAGAACTTCAGCATAGGACGAATGGGAGAAAAGGAGTGAGGAATGGAAAAAACAGGCTGCTGTGGGACTCTGAATGGGCCAGCACTAAGTGAAGACTTGCTGCCAATTTCCTCTGTTACATGACTCTAGAAGCACTAGAAACTTCAAGGGGGAAGGCCCATTTACAACCTGGAAATGGAGCTTTCTCACTCTAGTGCCTGAGCACTGTGAACAAAGTGAAGCAAAGGGTGTTTATGTAAAGAGTGCTAGGAATGCTTCTACCCTTCAGACAGACTTAGCAGGAGACAATGTGACACAGGGTTCTTGAGCTGTTAATTATATCTTTTTATGAAACTCAATTCCAGTGTGCTCAAGTGTTAAAAAACCCAAATGTTTAAACTTGGTGTGCAATAAAATTTTCTTAGTAAATGTTCAGACAATAACTTGTTACCAATATGTAAAGTGAAATATGTGGTAAATTCAAAAATATTTTTAGAAATGCAATTTCTTAAAATTATGCATACCTTGCAAAACTCTGATTTTATAATAAAAATATCAAAATACAAAAAATAATTGTCTGATATAAAGATTCAGATAAAACTGGAGAAAGAGGATAATATTTGCATTCATATTCAGTATGAATGACATAGATTTTAAGGAAAAACACTGGTATGCTTAAAATGTGAGTTACAACATTTAGCCACTAATCCTTTGGAGAACATCAATTACTATTTAATGTGCTAATTAGTAGATGATCTGCAGAACTTTCAAGTGGCATCAACAGATAGATTATTTCTAGTCACAATGGCATCTAAAGTGAACTTACGAAACTTTGACATCCCCCTCAGAGTTTTTTTCTGCCCTGGTCAGGCACTTATAGAAGAAACTGCTAAAAATGTGCGTACGGTCAACAACATGTTTTGGTGCCTTCTCCAACATCAGGTATCTACCAAAGAAAAAAAGAAGGTAATTATTAAATTCCTTTTCTAGAAAGTACCATTACTGATTTAAAAAAAAAAAAAAAAAAAAGGACAGTTAATGACTTAGCATAGTCAGGTTATGTTTACTAACCAGTTGCCTTCACAGCCACTAATCATGCCAAACTTTTCTCTCTACTCTGTCCTAACTATTCGCATGGGTGACAACATCAGAGGATGGAACAGCCAAGCAACTACTAAGAATGCAGTCAGTTTTTGCCCCAGATTTGTGCTCTGGTATTCAAGCTTCTGAATTTATTTTACAAGCTAGGTATCTAGCCCTTGCAATTAAGACAGGCTTGAAAACCTAACCAAGTATAAACTTCTGGAGTGTTATACTCTTGCATAAACAAAAAGCATAAAACAGGTCAGTACAATAAATAGCCCATTTTACTTCTACGGGTTATGCCTGTGAAAGTTAAGGCAAATATTCCACAAGTACTTATTAGTTCACTGCTTTCTGTAGGAGATCTGCACCAGAAGAATTCCTGAAATTGCACAGAATAGCAGAGGATGCTCCAGTTCGTGCAAACTTAGTAATTAAAATATTAGTACAGACCCTCTACTTGGTTCAACTGCCTACTTAACACTGCTCAGCACTTTCTGTTCTGTGAGATCACCTAGAGGCTTTTTTTTCCGTCCAGTTATACTATCTGGAATATATCATGGGGGACAAAAAGAATGAAATTGAAACAAATGAAACTGCTAAGAATACACAAAAGCTTTTTTAAAAGTCTGACGTACAAATCCATCACCCTGTTACTTCTGAGGTTGTTGTATTGTGTTTAGTGACCAACATTTCAGTAACACTTAAGTCCAGACCAGGGCCCAGAAGGAAGGGTACAAGAAGAGCTGTGATTACTTACTTAAGATAGAAATCAATGATGACATCATTGAGAAACTCTCCATGTTCTAAGCACTCTAGGTCTTCTCTTGTGACTCCCAGTCCTCCTTTTGCAGGTGGGGGTGGATAAACAATTAAACTAGAAAACATAAAGCATGTCATAAGAGTGACAAACTGTGTTTTACATGACATTCTTCTTACTATGGCTGTTTCACACATAAAAGGATTTTCGACAAAACCTGTTAAACGTAGTAGTTCTCAAAACTGTTGACTAACTCAAGAGTCCTTTACTACTTCTTCCTCCAATAGCTAAGTGTTAACAAAAGAAACAGTCACACCAATGCACACTGAAACTCTAAGAAAAACTTTTGAAAAGGAGACTATTTTTACCTTCACCTTGTTTTTCTGTTTTTTATAAAAGTAATCGACAAATGGCTATATAAAATAAGTGGTCTGAATGAACAGTGATTTTCTATTAAGATCCCAATAAGGACTCTCACATTTCCAAGCAAAGAACCTGGGCTTACACATCATGCAGCATATGTATGCTAAGTGTTTTGAAACTGCCCAAGTTACTTCTACCCTAGTATTTAAAACCAACAAAAAAGGCTCTAGATTAAAACCTGTATTACTAAAGTGGAACCATGAACTGAGCATTTCTGCCCTTGCAGAAACCAAACAACTGCAATACTGTCAGTAAAAACAGTTACAGCAAAAGGCAAGAGTTCTTCAGGGCAATTTACTAATGTTTGCTGTACTAGAAGTGTGAGGGCTAATAGGCAGGACACAACTGAGGCATGTCAGTGCTCTCCTAGCATCTTGCTGCACTAATGCCATTTGTTAACCAAACTCCTGCACTAACAAGTAAGCTGTATGACAAACTAGTTAGAAATAGATTCAGTGTGACAGAACAGTGGCAAGAAAAAATTACTTAGATTTAAAAAAAAGGCTCAGCTTAAATTAGCAATAGTTTTGCTAAAATGGACTTAGATGGACACTCAGAAACCATAAGGTCACTACCACCCCCATTGATGCACCCATGAAGTGACCTTGCAGTCACAGTTCAGATATTCCCCAATTTCTGTGAGATTTTCTGCCATCCTGTAACACATCTGGTTTGTCTGTTAACTATTAGGATGGAAAAGGAATAACTACACTCATACTTGGTGATATTTCAGATTTCTAGAGCAACTTTCACACAACACTTTAAATCAACTAGAGAATGGTAGTTAAGTGAGGATTTTTATTTTAACAATGTTTATTCAATTTATTTCCCATTTCTTATTTATATGAAATAAACTTACTTCTCAACTGCTCCTGTTTCTCTTACTTCTTGCAATCTTCCATTCTGTGCAGAGGACAAAGAGATAGAATAGCAACCACAATTCTGCTTACTTGCAAGGACATAACTGGGCCTGACCACTTTTACTTTTGATTCCTATCAGGAAAAAAAAAATCCAAACAATAATAATAGTAAAAAGCATTATACAGCTTGGTATGTAAAACAGAGCATACAGACCCCAAGCCTAAAGCCCACAGGAGTACCCTGCCTCACTGAGGAGGATTCTTGCTGGAGAGTGAAAGTTATATCCCTTTTAAAATGATGAAAGGTCTTAATCTGTACAGAATCTCTCTAAAACTGTTCAAGCATTACTTAGCCAAGTAACACAAAATTGGTTTTGGAGAAGAAACATGACCTGAAAGGATAGAGACAAGTATCAGACTATCTTACTAGGAACTGTGTATGCTTGGAAGGTTTAGAAATCTAGTCCTTAAACAATTTGCCTAACAAACACCACAGATATAAGCTGTCTGGCTCCCTTTTTAAGTTCCCAGTTTCATGAACCGATTGATCTGTTGTCTCTGTGATTTTACTGGTGGGAACAAATATATGTAATTTCTGAAGTGACAATGATGTGGGGTTTAGACATTTCCTCCTCAGAGGAATTAAACCATGACAAGACATTAACTCGCACAGACTCACCACCCCAGCATTTCAAGCTGTGGAGACCCTACAAGTATATCCAGAGGCGTCTGGAGAACAAAATACACAGCTCCCTCCTCTGGTGCATTTTCAGCTCAACCAAAAAATGGCTCCATCACTCATTACTTGATTACCTCCCAACTTGGTGCCCTGGAGACACCACAAGGGCAGGAAATCCCTGTGGTTGTAAGTATACACAACCATGAGTCAATCTAAAGTGTCAATACTTGCCACTTATTGATGAGGTCCACACACTACCCCTCTGTGGACACAATGCAGTTGACTGCAAATCTTGCAGTCATCATGACTGATACTTTTTGAGCTATGGATTAAGAAAGAAGGCTGATTTAAAATTTACTAGAATGTGTGAATGCTAACAGGTAGTGATGAATAAGCTTTTTGAGCTATGGATTAAGAAAAAAGGCTGATTTAAAATTTACTAGAATGCGTGAATGCTAACAGGTAGTGATGAATAAAGCAACAGCTAAACACTCACCTGAACTGCAGGTTCACAAGCATCTGAGGTATTCTCTTTTGGCATATATTGACTTAGTAGATCCTGATGGTGACTCATGAAAGAACTTTCTTCAGGAGAAAGATCCTTAAACAAGGGAAATGCTTGCTTCAAAGACAAAAACTCAGTGAGATCTGGTGCTCTGTTCTTCTTGCTCACATCTGTAATCAGTTCAGTCAGTCGGTCTTCTTCCCATTTTGTGAGTGATTGGGACAGTTCAAGAAATAAAAATTCACTCGATTTGGCTGGAAAAAGGAGATAATAGATAGTATTAACTATTGGCAAATTCACTCGATTTGACTGGAAAAGGGAGATAATAGATAGTATTAACTATTGGATTATGTTATTAAAAACTTCTCTACACACCCACAGAGAAGCACAGAGAGACAACAGCAAGAGGGGGAGCTCACACCCCCCCCTGCCATGTTCAGCACAGGGACCATCAGCCCACCAAAGACCCATCTCCACAAGCCCAGTGGAGCACAGGGGCAAAAATGACAGGTAGGAACCAAAATTAAGGACTGTGAGGAACAGACACAAGGTCTGGGCCCTTCCCAGGGCTCTACCAGGAGAGCCTCAGCCTAAGGGTCCAGACCTGAAACCTGTGAAGATGAGTCAATGCCAGAGCAACCTTTGGACTCATAGGTGGTTGCTGCTGTGGTGGTGTATGGCATGTGATGGGAAGAAAGGGAAGAGCATTTTGTGATTGCACAGGACTTAATAAAGGATATTTAAGCGAAAAACTAAAGGCAGGCAAACGGAGGCATTCAGGTGACTCAGGGAGGAAGGTGTGTGGGAAAATAGAGGGCTAAGGGCATAAAAATGACCAACTGCATCTATATACTTTTTTGGTCAATACAGTTGTCTGGCCATACCATGTGCCTTGATCAGAATAGCTTCTCCTGCCTTCTTATAGAAGTCCTTTCTAACTCTCCTGGGTGAGGAACTCCTCTGACCACTGTCAGGTAGTCAGAGCCACCATGATACATTTTCCTCTAATATTAACACACTAAGAAGGCAGAGTAGATCCACAGTAAAAATTTCTACAATCTGTGCAACCATTACTGATTTGTTTCAACAAGTCTCTACAAACATTTCAAAGTATTTACACTACTATATAAAATTAAAAGGCATAAATCATTAAAATCTAGTAACTCATGAACGTTTCTCCTACAACAAGAATGTAAACAAGCCATTAAAATTTAGTAACTCATGAACATTTCTCCTACAACAAGAATGTAAACAAGGTAAATAAACCTAAGATTAAAAGATGCCTCACAGCTTCATACTCAGATTCCACTCATTTCACCAGGAACTCTGTCTACAGGGGCTACCAGTAACTTTGGTTAATTTACATCAAGCAAATGTAGCTCTCTGATGAAATTTCACACAGTATTTTGCTTCAAACTACTCATACTTCTGATGTAAAGTTAACAGTACTTATATATTTCTGCATACAGGTGATGACTGTACAGGCTATACAAACTATTAAATTTCACACAGGCAACTTTGACACCATCAGTTTCGTATATGACATTCTGCAACGATTTTGCTTTTATGATTTGCTTGTATGACAGTGCCACTCTGATTATATGAACAGAAGTTACACTCAGTTTGACTGAACTTCACACTAGAAAAACAAATCGAGCCAGTCCATGATACCCTAAAGACTAAATACCCCATTTGGCCTCTAGTGGAAATTTTCTTCAATGATAATGCAATGGCCCAATGCAATCTTGTCAAAGATCAGCTCAATCTTTATTTGCTCAGCCTTTTGTCTAGCATATACACTACTCAAGAATACGAACACTTAAAACATCTAATGTATTTTAAAAGGGGATATGTTTTATACACAAGCCTAGTTTCAGAGGGCCTTCTCACCCACATTACAATTGAACTGCATTTTGAGGTCTTTTTATTAAGTAGCAGTAGTTTTGAATCACATTATGTAGATTTTTTTCTTTCAAATACAAGTATAGTGAGGAATTTTCGAAAAGCAAACCTGAGCAACTTATCTTTAAAATGCTATAGGCTTTCCTCCATATTTAA